AAAAAAAAAAAAAGGTTGGAGCTAAAGCCACTTGGCCTTAGGCCGATCCTGGTGACTTTGGGCAAGCTGGAGCCCGTTGCCCTCGTGGCCAGCGCTGCGGCTCCATGCTGATTCCCAGGCACCGTCCCCTTCCTTGCTGGGGACACGCTCACGACCCATTAACAAAAGCCTTTGGCAGCTTCCTAGCTAAAAAATAACTCCAGGAGGTTGCCCGGCCGGAGACGCCATCCCCACAGCCCCTGCCAGGGCCAGCTCGCGGGATTCCCTGCTCCCGCTTCCGACATCCGGCACGTTGGCAGCACACACTAAGGCTATTTTTAAACTGAGCCGACCACAACACAAATAAATACCCGCTTAAGGAAAGTAATACCCAACTCTGTGAAAAAGAAATGGTAACTTCAACCAGTGCTGAACGAAGTTGCTGCCTCTAAGAGCTGCTCCATGCGTAGGGAGAGTCGCACATAGCCCAGTGGGGCCGTTGTCCCAATGCTCCTGTGTCAAATCAGGCCCCGATGCTGCTCACCGGGTTGGGGACATCTGCTCGGCCATCGCTTGCGTCACGGCGACTCCGCAGCGGGTTCCCACACACATCACTTCCCCAAAAGTTTCCTGGCAGCCCCTGCCTCCCCTCGTGTCAAGTTTTGAAGATAAGAGAGTGTAGGAAATCATGTCATTTTTCTGTGACTGTGCAGCGTCTCCTTCCCTAATCCTGTTCCCAGAAGTGGTTGTACGAGCAGGGGCTGAAACGCTGTAAAAAGTATTTGGGGAAGAGTCGCAGCCCAATCTGGGGCGGATGAGATTAAAGCAGCTGCAGAGCGAGGGCGTTGAGGGGGAATGCAGGCGAGCTGACAAAGAGGTTATCAGCAACTTCAGAAGGGCTCTGCACCAAGGGCAGAGCCTCCACCGACGAAACCCACTTCTGAAAGCCACCCGGGTCCATAAATTGGCCTCTTAGTGAATAAAAAGCCCAAGGAGAGACACTGGACTGAGGAAAATAACCTCCTTGGTGGGGCTCATGGACTCGGCACCAACCCAGAAGGTAATTCACAGCCCAAAGGCCTTGACCATCACCCAGCCCACGGCCTCTCAACGCGCCCTGCTCTGAGCCTGGATCGCTGTTGGTCACGACGAGCTCCAGCTCGGAGGGTTCTTCCCTCATTTCGGCAGGAGTTACAAGCTGATTGTCCTGGGCTGCTTCCTCATCCACCTTGGAATACGGACACCAAGGTGCACAGAGGAGCCGTGGCTTTGCTGTCAACCGCTTCTCTCAGCTGCTGGGAGCTCAGACCTCAGGGTGACAGGAGAAACCGCTCCAAGACACATCAGCCCTTCAGTTTCTGCTCAAGCGTCCTGTTTCCTAAGCTACTTCCCGTTACGAGGTGCTACAGCATCTGCAAGCTATGATGAAACGCTCTTACAGCTGTTGGTCTCTGTGGCTGAAAACTTTACTAGTTCTTAAGCTAAAAGGTCCAAAATCTGCACTCAAAATGTTGGCCTGTGTAAGTCCTACCGAGCTCGGTGTCAATGGGGCCTTTCCGCAGTGTGTTCTCAAAGCTAAGATATGACTCTCCCCAAGTGCTTTAAAGCGGTGGTTTTCAACCTCTGGAACATCCATTTGAAAGGTTTTGGTCAAAGTGACATTTTCTATCTGTCTTAGCAGCTGGAGAAAAGCGATAAGACTCGGGCCGTACTAATCACTGACGTAAAAGCTGTTTTACAAACTGCAGTTCTAACTACATGATTCAGCTCAGCACTGAAGGCTGAGGCCATCTCCTATCTGGTGCTGTACAGCCCATGATAATTGTTTCTAAATTAAACAATCCTTTAAAGTGAAGACCAGTTTTCCAAGCTGATGATCCAGTGCTGCTCCAGTTGGAGGGTTCTTCTGCCTCCAGGACTCTCTGGGAACCCAGAGGAGATAACGGGGCAGGAAGGAGAGCTGGGAGTGCAGGAAGGAGGAGGAGGAGGAGGCTGGTACCGTTTCCTGAGCAAGCTGGGATGGGAAAGGAAGCAGCCTCGGGAGTCGATGGGAGTGGGAACAGAGCTGGGGAAAGCAGCTTTCCATTGCAGTTGCAACTCAATTTAACCTGGTGTAATCTGGAATGTACAGAGGGCCTGAGCCGTTAGTTACGCACCAGAATTAACCCCTCTGAGCCCTCGCTGGCAGCTAATGAGTTAATCAAGAATCATTTCAGCAACCTCCTCCTGCAGACCCGTGGGCCACGGTGCAGCAGCACTGCTTGGCACCAGTTTGAAACCCAAGAAGCAACACAAAAAAAGACCAATTTTGAAACTAAACACTGTGAGCATCACCCACCTATGTGGTTCTGTAGCACAGTCAGAAAGCCCAGCTGCGTCACCATCCCCTACTCATTTGCCAACACACCTCAAGCTTATTTAGACAGATTCTGCTTCCTGATGGTTTACTTGTTCCCCTCTGGGGATATCCACCTGAATTCCCTGAAAGATCACAAAGTACAAATGTGCTTAATGGTGTTTTTATGAACCTGGGCAGAAATCTGAGGGGAGGATGGAAGGAGCTGGACCCAATGTTACAAACTCCCATCAGGTCCCCCTGAGCATCATCAGGGCTCGCAGCACCTCACTTTGCAGAGCAAAACACGGCAAGGAAGTCACGTGCACGAGAGCTACACTAATGTGACACCGAGATAAGATTAAAGCTAACAGGAAAATAAGGATTGTATTTCCAAGAGCTTTGCGTTTCAGAAGGTTGTGTGGTGCCCTCTGTCTTTGGGTGCTCCAGCATTAAAGTGTGTCCGTAGGCATGCAAAGTTGGCCCTTCCTGGAATTAGTAAACAGGGGGTTCACAAAGGGTTTTTGCCCTTTTGTTGCCATTGCGTTTTTCCAATTTCATCGCTCTGGCCTTGCTCCATGACCCTTTCCTTGTGAGTGTTCAGGTACTGCGAGGGGGGGGACAGTGGAAACCACAAGAACAGGAGGGCAAATCAGTCATTTCTGTGTTAAATAGCAGAAATCAAAGTGAAGCAGAAAGAAAGCAGTACCTCTGTCAAAGGCCTCGGTCTTCTCTCGACAACAAACTCCGTGTGGCAGAGCTCACAGTAACTTGTGTTGGAGGAGGACAACCACTTTTCCAGGCAGCTCTTGTGCACGGTGCCCAGGGTTCCTGTGCAGTCACACGGGGAGAGCAGCCCCTCTCCATTTCCACCTTCGTGGCAGATTCGGCAGATGGGACCGTCGCTGGAGAGCCAAAGAGAAGGAAATCCTGGTCAGAGCAGGAGAACGATGCAGCTACAGCCAGAGGATGGGGGTCGAGGCCACCAAGCCCCAGAGAGGCCCCAAGAGCAGCTGGGGAGGCACGTTAGGTGCTCAGAGCAGCCTGCTGGGACATGAATCTCAAGCAAAGTCACATTTAGCAGCTCACCTACCCATTTTTGTGCAGAAAAACAGCTGGCAGAGTTTTCTGTTTCTTTCCTAAATCCGCCCTGAACTATGAAAACCATCCCTCACTTCTTTTCTGTCATCCTGCCAGACATTTCTTCTGTGCAAGGACCTTCCTTCCTCTTCTATCCGTAGTTTCCCAGACGTGGGGCTGGGAGGCAGGGGAGAAAAATGTTTATCATTGATGACCCTACTCTGTGCCCGTTGGAAACCCAAGGGGGCTGTATCAGCTGCCACCGTGGTGCACACAGTTGTCATCTCGCAGCTCCTGCTCAGCTGTGGCTGGCACTTCCAAAAGGGAAAAAAAAAACAGTTCGCAAAAGAAATTTGTGGGATTGCAACACAGCTCAGGCCGGATCTGCAAAATGAGCAACATTCCCCTCGTTAGTTTGCACAGCCAGGCAAGAGAGAGACCCAACGGAGCAGAATCCAGAACATTCCGCCGGCAGGGAGCATCCTGGGGAAAAACACTGGGCCGGGAAGGAGCAGCAGCAGGAGCACCCGAGCTCCGGGACAAGCGCCACAACAGGGTCCTGCGGAGCTGGCGGCATCTCTGTCCTTGGAGCTGCTGGTTCTGAGCAACCTCATCCAACTCTGGAATTCACCTTATTTTTAAAGGTGCCCGACCAGACCATCTCCAAAGGGCCCTTCCAGTCTGAATCCCTAATGGTCCCGCAACCTTTATTTTGTGGTAAAGCTCAGGGTCATGTTAGGGAGACGAAATCACAGCCCCGGGGACAGAGAGAGCCCCAAACCCTGCAAGCCCCGAGCGCTCTCTTGCAGCTGCTGGTTCCTAAGAAATGCATCTGTGAGATATTTTATCCGCTCTCTTCCTGTTTGAGGAGTTTCAGATTTCCAGCGCATTAATATAACTTTGGCTACCAAGAAACAATCCAGAAGGAAAAAATTTGCTGACACACGGAGAAAAAAAAGTTTGTGTCAGACTGTTTCCCCTTCCCTCCTAACCAGGGCTGGGCAAGGGGATCTGACCGCACCCCCTACCCGATACAGCCTCCAAATCACTTTTCCCACCCCCTGTGGAGCCAGGATCACCAATTCCACTTCCAGTCCAGCTGCACTGCTCCTGCGGAGACCTCGTTTGTAAGATTTGGACCTGCTGCAGCAGTTCATATTAAAGCATAGGTCCTTCTATCTTCCTATCTGGATCCCAGCTTCTCTTACTTCATGCATTTCCAAAACCAATCTCCACCAAGCGCCTGCGCACGAGGAATCCTGTCTTTTGTCCTGGAATCCCAGGCCATTTCCGCAGCGGATTTTCCCACCTCGCCTGGTTTTACGGGCACACGCAGCTCCCCTCCCAGCCCGGGTGTTGTTCAGAGCAAGGCGACCTCCGCTCGTATTTTTATCTCCCTGCTCCAGATTTGCTAGACACAGCAATTGCTTTTGCCTCCGTTCGCACGTAACCTTCCTGCTTTCCTCCCCCACGTTTACGCTCGCGGCTTTCGCACCTCATCAGCGCTCGGCCTACTTTGCTGAGAAAAGAAAATCAGCAGCTGAGGTGGGAGTCGAAGCCAAATTTGGACTGGTCTCAATATCTGAGCGCGACCAAGAGGCCGGACATTGCACAAGGAACACGAAGTCACGCCGGGAAGGATCCTCTTCCTGGGGCTGCAAATGTGCACTGAGTTTTTACTCTAGGACCACCTTGGTACAGGGGATTTCCTCATCTCCTGCCCTTAAATCATCTCTGTGAACAGCCAGGCACCTCTGCTGCACATCCACATCCATGGGGATCAGGCAAATCCATCTGCCCAGCATGAGCAGGCAGCACGGGTCGGGCCATCGCTTGGCTACTGAGGAATCACCCTCAATATCAGCCTCATGGGAGGCTTAAGATGAAACCTTGATGTCCCCTGCTATGCTTAAAAGCCACAAAAAAGGGGGAAAAATGAAAAGCAGAGTGAGCAGGAGCCCTTACCTCTGCGCGCCCAGCGCCTTGATGACCGTGGAGAGGAGGCGGCCGTCCTTGGCGGTGACCTGCGTGACGTACTGCGGGCGCCCGAGCTCTGAGTCCTCCACCGCCTTGGAGAGGGTGGCGCTTCCCGGGCAGTCGCACAAGGAGCCGGGGAGGTGGCAGCAGTCGCCTGTCGTCATGGCAGCTCCGGGGACCGGCGCCGCGGAGACCTGCGGCGAGAGGCACCGGGATGAAGGGGGGACACCCTGGATCGGCCTCGGCGCCTTTGCAATGGGATGCGTGCCCCGAATCACTGCTTTAACTGGCCTTTTCTGCCTTTTAATACATTTTATGAAGCTGCCATAACCTCAAATTAAGACTCCGAGTGTCCCAGTTGCATAAGTTTGCGTTGGTATCGCGAATTTGCCTTTCCTGGCGAGAGCTCCCAGCACCCCTCTCCCCCAAGGAAGCCTTTCCACCTGGAACTGCGGGTGCAGGAACTGCGGGTGCAGGAAAGCCCTCTGTGCCCGTTCCACCTGGCTGCAGCCGTGCTGGAAACCCTCCTTCGTGTCCTTGGAGCCACCAGGTTTCATCCGAGCACGGCCCTTGGCCATCCTCAAGCAGCTCGGCTCAGCGAGGCCCCTTGTTCCAGCTGCCTTCAGGGACTTCCAAGCTCTTCAGAGCCCATCCGGGGTCCCCCTGCCCTGTAATGTTCCCGTTTTTCAGCTCCTTAAGGAAACACCCCCAACGCATGGAAACGCCTCCACGTGCCGCATCCCAACCGCAGACGTGCGGACACCAACCCCTCAGAGACCTTCTGAGGGCTTCACCGAGGCCGTAACCACCTCCACAACACATCCCTATGCCAGGAAAAGAGACTTTGTCGGGCCCGGGGAGCTGTGGGAGCGCAGGGGGTATCCACGCAAACAAACCCTCGGCGCAGGAAACGCTTTTGTTTCGCCGGCGCCGTGACAGGAGGGAAACGCTCCCGCGGAGCGGCGCTTTCGGCGGGTTCAGCTAAGCCGAGAGCAAACGAAAAGAGCTGAAGGAAATAAGGGCTTGTTCCTGGCTGGACTACAGAAAAAAGGGAAAATAAATACAGATCCAGACTGAGAACATGATGGTAGAAGACCTGTAAACGCCGTGGGGGAGATGCGAAGGCACCCGGCCGCGTTCACTGGCCACCACGACGCAGCTGCATTTGAGGTTTTATTGCAAAAAGTTGCATTTAAGGCTCTTACAAAGTTCCCAGTTAATTTTCTCCTTTTATTAAAGCTGCTTTTGAGAAGCTGCCTCTGCAGCTGGACAGCAGGGCAGGGCGCCAAGATGAACAGGAACCTTTCCTGCAATGTCAGGGTGAACATAGCACCCCTTTTCCTAATACTTCCCTTCCAAAAAAAAAATAAAAATAAATAAAAATTAGAAAATAGTACGATGCCAAGGAGCAAAAGGTAAGATGATAAATGCAACTGGACTGACTTAAGTCCACTCTTTTGCAAGTTAAGATTTTCGATTTGCAAAGCCTCTTCCCGACCCAGACGAGGGCAGAGAAATGCTTTTAATAAAAAGCGCCGTTCCATTTGTTCAGCCAAAATGTTGTTTGGTTTTTAAGTACAAAAGGGGAAAAAAAAAAAAAAAAGGTCTGTTTGTGTCTTGGAAGCAAACTGCCCTCCGTCCCTGCATCCTGGGAGCCTCTCCAGGAGGCTCCGCAGACACCGGCAGCGCCGCGTCCTTGTCCCGACAATCCCGCTCCGTGTACAAGAATTTCCTCACCGGGGTCCATCGCAGGGTGCACCTGAGCTCACGGCTTTAACGTGCGGCTGAGCTGCGTCGTGCAGTAAAT